ATTTTACTGCTCAAACCAGTGAATTTATATACCGGAGGTTAAACTGATGGAGTTTTTTACAGCTCCAGATCTCAAAGCCATTTGAAGAGCACGCCTCCATGAGCTGCAAAGAATGGAGCAAACACTAAGGACTCAACTGCCATGAGCTTGATAAGAATGTTGAGTGAAGGACCAGAAGTGTCCTTGAGGGGGTCTCCAATTGTGTCGCCTATCACGGCCGCCTTATGAGGATCAGAACCCTTAGGACCTAGTGATTTAGCATGTTCAGAAGCACCAGCCTACAGGCATATCAAGGCAAGATATCAGAACCAACACAAATCAAAGAGCAGTTTTAAATCAAAAGTTGCAAGAACAAAAGCTTGCCTCTATGTATTTCTTTGCATTATCCCATGCACCACCGGTGTTCGAAGCTGAAATGGCAATCTGTAAAAGAAAACAAAAGGGAGGCACTTAAGGAAAACTGATCAGGAAGACTAAGAAATTGAAAACCTGCGGCTAAAGCTTCACCTGCACGCCGGAAACAAGTGAACCAGCAAGGATCCCAGCAAGAGTTTCTACTCCAAAGAAGGTCCCGGCAATGAGTGGCGTAAGCATGACCAAAGCGCCGGGTGGGATCATCTCCTTGAGGGAAGCATCAGTGGAAATCTTGACACATGTTGCGTAATCTGGCTTCGCTGTTCCTTCCATGAGGCCTGGAATTGTATTGAATTGTCTGCGAACCTCTTCGACCATTTTGAGTGCTGCACTTCCCACGCTCTTCATTGTCATGGCTGAAAACCAGTATGGAAGCATAGCTCCCACAAGCAAGCCAATGAAGACTTTTGGGGTCAGCACATCAACAGTCTCTATGCCTGCTCTGCTAACATAGGCACCAAACAAAGCAAGAGAAACAAGAGCAGCTGATCCAATAGCAAAACCCTGATACATAAATGAAAATATGTCAATTGAAAGAAGGGATACAAATCATCAAACTCAAGACCTAATCTCCTGACTGTTTGTTTTACCTTGCCAATAGCTGCAGTTGTGTTTCCAGCAGCATCTAAAGCATCTGTTCTTTCGCGTATCTCGTGGCTCATACCGGCCATTTCTGCAATCCCACCAGCATTGTCACTTATTGGGCCATAAGCATCAATTGCAAGACCTGTGGAGATAGTACTGAGCATTCCCAAAGCAGCCACAGCAATTCCATACATGGCGGCCATGCTAAAGCTAACGTATATAGCAAAGGCAATGGCAAATACAGGAATGATGACTGATTTGTAACCCAAAGCCAGCCCGAAAATCACGTTTGTTGCAGCACCAGTCCTACAAGAATCTGCCACATCCTGCACTGGACTGCAAACCAAACACGGTAGTAATAAGCATCAGAGATTTGATTTGCTGCAATATGATTTAGTATGGCATTGAAAATATATGTAGTCATTATGAAGACTAGGAAAGAGTAAAATGAACTAGGAAAATGGCTCACCTGTAAGCATTGCTAGTGTAGTATTCTGTAGTATATCCAATAACAAGACCAGCCCACAAGCCAATTGCTACACAAAAGAAGAGGTACCTGCAGCTCACATGTAATTCAAATAGAGAATATTAAATGTTACGGGACACGAATTAAAGATGCCAGGGGAAGAAAACAGAAATTGGGGATGGAAAGAGGCATACCAGTTCTTGACAGCCTTATTGGTTCCAAAGCTGAAGAGAGTGAATTCTGATGGTAAAGCTACAAAAGTGACCCCGGCGATCCCAGCAGTCATTAAAACTGTTGAGATAAGAAGTTGTCGCTTCAAGGACGGTTCGATCTCACTCACTTTCTTGATTTCAAACAGATCAGTTGCAAAAAGGGTTGTTATCAGACAAACCACAATCCCCATTGAGCTTATGATCAATGGATATGACATGGCTGTGAAGTCATGACTGATACCAAAGGATGAGATGGATGCAACAAACAATGCTGCACAAGATGATTCGGCATAAGATCCGAATAGGTCAGATCCCATCCCTGCAATGTCTCCTACATTGTCACCCACATTGTCTGCAATAACCTGAAAAAGAAACACAAAATTTGTGAATGATTAAAACTAATCAATTCCCTGCACCCAAAAATAGTGACTTGATACTAAATTTGTCAAAGTCATGCTCTGCAATGGAAAGTTCTAAAAGAAATGAGCAAACAAGCAAAGTACAAAAGAGAGATGTAGGAACTTACAGCCGGGTTTCGCGGATCATCTTCAGGGATATTTCGTTCAACCTTCCCGACAAGATCAGCACCAACATCAGCTGCTTTTGTGTATATACCTCCCCCAACTCTTCCAAAGAGTGCCATTGAAGAACCTCCAAGTCCATAGCCAGTAATTGACTCATACAGTCCTTCCCAGTCATCCCCATAATACAACTTAAATAGATTGATAGTGATATACAGCACCAAAAGGCCGTTGGCAGCAAGAAGGAATCCCATCACAGCACCAGAGCGAAAAGCGGTAATGAAAGCCTTCCCGACACCCCTCCTTGCTTCTAGAGTTGTTCTGGCATTGGCATATGTTGCAATCTTCATCCCAAAAAAACCAGAGAGGACTGAGGTAAGAGCGCCGAGCAAGAAGGCAATAGTAGTAAAGAAGGCATTGGCTAATGCTGGTTTACATGTATTGCCTGTGTTATATGTGCAAGGTTCACTTTTGGTACTGAAACCCTTCACTGAACCAAGGAAGAGGAAGATTATGGCACTAAATACACCCACGAAGATGCTAAGGTATCTGTATTGGGTAAACAGAAAAGAGGTCGCCCCTAGGAACAATATACAAATCAAAGTCAGATTTAACTGCACAAATAACTTGTATCATAGTTTAGTACAAGGAGGATAACAAATACTTTTGAGAGAACAATGAGTCCATACTAAAATTGTTTTGGAACCATTAACATGTATAAACTAAAAGTATGGCAACAAATTAAAAGGAAAAAAACATTACACAAAAGACAAAATAAGGAAATTCCCTCTTGAACATTTTGTCTACTGTTTTTATAAGTTTCTGGAATTATCTCAGGGATCAAACAACAAGAGAGTAAATACAATATTTAGAAGTATAGAAATTCATGTCCACATCCAAAAGAAAAAAAAGGGCAAGTCCAAGAATGTTTAGGAGTACAGAAAAAACAATAGTAAGTATACAAATATAGAAACAGAAAAGAAACAGAGCAAAAACAAATTCAGAGATAGAAGAATTTACTGTCACAAAAGAGCAGCAACCAAGAAACTTCACTGACATGATTTCTTAAAGAAACTTTTCATAAAAATGGACATGCTAGGATGCATCTTATAGTCAGTGGTATGAAACGGGGAAAACAAAGTAGAACAGTTTTAAGAACTAGATCCCCTTGAGCATAACCATCTTAAGCAGAGGATTTAAAACACAAATATCAAAGAACATAGAGAGAGAGAGAGAGAGAGAGAGAGAGAGAGAGAGCTCTTACCAATAGAAATGGCATTTTGAATTTCAGCAACCTTGATGGTAACCTCAAGGCTGTCAACACCCTCTTCTGCTTCTCCAATCAACTTGTCCTTATAGCCATTCCCCTCACTATAGCTACCAGAGACCTTCACCCTTGAGACCAAAAACCACTGAAGCAAAGCAAAAGCAAGTCCAACAAGGGCAGCCAAAGGGATCAGAAGCTGAGTTAGGCCTTCACTTAGCAAACCCATTTCCAAAAACTCCAAAGACAAATGGTTCCTTTTAGCTTTCTGAGCATGCACAAATATATATGGCAAAGAAGCAAACAAAGCTGGGTTTTGAACTGCAGCCTCTTAATCTAGATCTGCATTATCCAAATGATCATAATATCTTAGTGGCTTTGCATTGCATGGCCATTGGAGTCCATAAAGCTGGCTGGTTTGAAAGGCAGGTGAGGCTTGGGGTAGATTCTTCTTAACCTTGGACTGAGCACAACTGGTTGTTTTGATTAATAGGTAGATGTTGTGTCAGAGACGTCTCTATCCCAACGGACAATACTATCTCTCATTGATGGATGGATAGAGTTGGCCAAATCAGCACCAGCCCCATGGATAAACACAAGCTCAATAATTACTCTGTAAATCACAATTTTCCTGTTCAAAGGAAGGAGGCCTAGAAGGTCTTTGGGGTGAAGGTTTCTTTTATAGTGAAAGTTAAATGGCTTTTTATGTAGTAGTTTCTGCCCCAAGTTTAATAAAATTACTTTTTTGTCCAGAACGTTTATCTTCTTAGTATGTTAATGTAAAGTTGCACCTTTATTTGATTTGACATCAGAGCAAACATTTAAATTATGTTGATTGGGATTGAAATTAAGTAAGTTGGTGTTGGTAATTAGGGATTGAGATTATGATTTTGCAGGAAATATCAAGACTCTTTCTTTGTTTGTTGTCGGTGGTGTACGAAACAAATACAAAAAGAAGGATTCTTTACCATTTTTTTATGGCAGCTTTATTTCCTGCGTACGCAATTGTATTTTAATGCATAAGGTGACGCTAACTTGAATTCCAAATAAATTCAAATTGCAGTAAAGAAACATTTGTACCAAAAAAAATAAAAAGTCAACAAAATTCTCTAAAAATGAATTTTCCTTTCCTTTTCGTAGCCTCTACCTAAGCTTGATACATCGTACAGTATGACAAAATAAATCTTTGATTGTATTCTACAAAATCGTTTCGTAGCGTCTTTAAAGTCTTTGAGATTCCCAATGATTAATACAAAATTAGAATTATGATATTGTGACCAAGATGAGTTTGCCACGCATTCACACTTAGAATTGACACGTGGAGCTCAACCACTGAAAATACTGATTGGACTTTTCTACCTTCATGCCCACTTCTACCTGTCTTTGGCAAGATAATGATAAAAATGTGCAGAGAGTCATATAAAATGGTAAAATTTTCAGCTAATTCAATGATTGTAGGCTTCTTCGAAGTTGGAAATTTCAAAGTTAATTTGTTGTTTTCAAAGCACTACATGCATGCATATGATGATGATTGCAAATTTGAGAAGAAAACATGGTACAACAGATTTTCCTTGCAATTTGTTTACTTACAAGAGTTTTTGACATTTCAATCCCAAACCATTCTCCCAGGATGATCATACAAAGCCGAATGTAAGGAGCCGATGGTGAGGTGAAGAGAAGGCTTCTGTTGCAAACTGGCGACAATTGTGTGCTTTCTTTCAGCATCAAACCTAAAACCTTTTCTGGTAGATAATAGTAACCATGTTGAAGTAGGAATCAAGAAAATACAGTTCCGTTCACATAGAATCAAGTTATCAACTGCAGTCAGAGATGCACACTAGAACTATATGCTATGCTTTCTCATTTTTTATGCATGAAACCTGCCCATAATTTGGAAGATCGATCTTCTCAAAACCGGAAAATGAACACCAAGAACCATTAGACTCACTTAACTAGGGCTGCAAAGCCTGGCTGGCCCAAGAAGGTACAGGTGCCTGAAACATTACTGGAAGACCAGTAATGGGGTGCTCAAAAGACAAGCTCTCTGCATGAAGTTCATGGCCATCATAAGTTCTCCCTTTCCACTCATAAACGCCCTCATACTTGACATCCCCTCTTATGGAAATTCCAAGATACTGGCAATGCAGGCGGATTTGATGTGTTCGTCCACTCCTAGGACGCGCTCTCACCAAAATCTCATCCTTCTTTGTGTCTTTATCTATTACAGCTTTCTCTTGAACTACTACAGTATTTGCTTCATCTTTCTTAAATTCAGATGGCTCTTTCAAGCTCCCTTGTCCATTTATTGATAATACTTCAAAGGATGTTTCCATGTCTCTGACCATTGATCCACCTGGAAGTGTACGGCCTACATCTGAAGCAGCATACACTCGCCAGGCCCCAAATTTTGACCGACCATGACCTGATTTAAGGGTGATTCTTTCCCATTTTGGAGCTGAACCAATGCAGCGTGCAATGTATGTTTTCGAAATTTTATGATCAGTAAATGCCTTCACGAGCTTGGAAGCTACTTTGTGTGACTTGGTTATTACCATTAGCCCACTAGTGTCACGATCAAGCCGATTTGCAAGATGGAGTTCTAGCTGGTTGGCCGGGGTCCCTGCAACTGATAATTTGAACTTTGATCAATGTTAACAAAAGAGTAACAAAACTCAACTCTTTCAAAACTTCTTTTTCTTTCAAAACTTCTTTTCTGCCCACCATAAGGTTTAGGTAATCAGCACCCCCATATCAGATGAAATAGACAGCTTTTCCTAAGTCTGATTATGCCTATTAGACCTTTTTAGAATGAACTGAACTTGGTGCCAATTGACTGGAGAATCTACAACAAAACTAAACCTTTATCCCAGCTAATTAGGATTGATTACATGAGTTTTCAGCAAAAAGGAAGAAAAGAAGAAAAGGGCATCAACTACATAACTTTTTTTGTTTGTTATACAAACCTATCTGAAGGACTTGAACCATCTCAGGTCCTTACTTAGTACATTGGTTTTATATTCTGTTCAAAATTGAAGGATTTGTACGCATTTAAGACTAAAGCAACAAAAATCCAGTATCAGTATATCTCAGATAAACTTTTTTAGCAATATATGATAACGATTTAGCAAGTACATTACGGAAAACTCTACTAGAATGGCCAACGGAAAGAAAGCTCATATTGCTGAGAAGCAAATTTCAAACACATCAACAAAACGAGAAAATTTGTGCATCAGTGAAACACAGCCAATCAGCCAAATGCTACCACAATTGAACACAAAGCTTCATCTATTTGGTAAATACTAAAACAGAACGGGTAAAGATGATGCCTTTGAGCCTAATAATCTATAGTATTTCAGAATGTTCAAAAAATCGCTAGGCGGGAGTAAGCATAAAACATATAGTAGTACTACAGAGAGAGAGAGAGAGAGAGAGAGAGAGAGAGAGAGAGCGAGAGAGAGAGAGAGAGGTAGCGTGAGAGTTTTCTTTAAAGTCAGGAGGAAAAATAAAAAATAAAAAATCCGCCTAGACCCGCCTAGCGCCTAGGCGGCCGCCTAGGCCGATTTTTCGAACTCTAATCCCGCTAAGTCCATTAAACTACATAAAACTTGAACATCATGCTAAATATATTAGCAACAAGCTGACCCAGAGGATTGAAAACAGCCCAACAAAAGAAAATGGAGCTAACCTGACTCGGCCGAGTCACAGAGAAGCTGAGGGACCGATTCCAACACGCTCTCACAGTATACTCCCTGAGGTTTGTTGACAACAATGAGCCACTGGTCCTCGAAAACGACGTCGTCTCTAGAGAGGGAAAAGAGGCTGGATTTGGAGGAGGCAGACATGGCTCTCGCCAGCTCTATATGCTTTGAGATGGGTGGCAGAGGAGGGGAGAGGGGCACGGGGTAATTCTGGGAGATTTGGAGGGCATTTTGGGAACTGGGATTTATGGCGTCGGACTGGACTGACATGGTGATTGAGCTGCGGCTGAGAAACGAAGGCTTTGGGGGTGAAGAAGAGAGTGGCGGGTTGGAGAGAGAGGAGAGGAAGAGGGAAGGGCATTTTTGTCAACAAATTGTACTAGTTTGCCTAAATACGACATCGTTTTGACGTATAATGTCTTCTTCAAATCAAAACTTACCAAGGAGCTCCAATTAAACAACCCTCCAGAGGAAAATCTGTCTGTTAAACCCCGAACTCGAACATCAGAGAAACAAATTCGAAGTTTTTATTTTTCTGTTATATCTTTCCCAATTAGAAACCAGAAAATTAGAGAAGGAAAATGTCATCTTTCAAGTTCATAAAGAGAGCAAGTAGTGGATCCTGGGTGGTTCTCTGTCAAAACCCTGAAGCTAAAACCCAGTTTGTTCCCTATTTACTATTATCCACTCTATCTGAACCCCAACCCACTACACTGAATAAACCCTCAAAGCCTCAAAATTTATCAAATTCAATTGAAAACAAGAGGATTTTGGATTCTGGGTCGTCCTCGTTTTCGCTTAAAACCTCAAAAACCCTACTCGGGTCTGTCCACAATCACACCTTTTCGCGTAATATCTTCGTTTCAGGCTCCAAGCCTCTGGCTTTAAGCGCTGCTTCCGGGAAAAATATCACTGGGTCTCATTGTAGTCCCCTGTCTTCAATCTCATTTGGTTCACAAAGGCGTGGTATTTGGCATTTGAGCACAGAAAACAAGGTTTTGGCTTCTGGGTGTGGTGTTTTGGTGCTTCCAATGGTGAAAAGTTTATATTCGTCTCGTGGTGGTCTCGCGCCTTGCAGCTTGGTTTGCTTGTTTGCTACTCAGGCTGCTATGGAGCCGTCGACCTGTGATGGGCTTACAGTTGATCGAATCATTGCTAGTGAGTGGCCAATTCTGGATGAGGAAGAGAGTGATTGGAAGAGTCACGCTGCTGCAATTGCCCAATCCATTCATCTAATTAAGAAACGTTTGCAGGTACAACTTATAATGAGATCATTCTATTATGTTCCTGTGCTCATTAATCAATCAGGACTTGTACGTAATGAAATGTGACTGATTTGTTATTTATCCTCTGCAATTTTTGGGTTTCATTTGGAAGCATAATTTTGTTGCTTATGTTGGGGATTCAATCATTTGGTTTGGTTGGTACTCTGATTGTATTGGATTGGAGTGAATTTAAACTGAGTATTTCTTCCGGTAGGAAATTTTAGCCGTCTCTGAAGTATAACTCTTGTTACTAAATGCTGAATGGATTTCGGTTTGGGTTTGTATATGACCTACTTGGGCTTAATTTTTAAGTACAAGTTTTCTGTTTGTGGTGGCAGTGGAAGAAGTTGATGGTTAGGTTGGATCTGTTATCAGCGGAGGTGAATAAACCAGACCTTTGGAATGATCCTGTACATGCAGGGAAGATAAGCCGTGAGCATGGTTCACTTATGGGTAAAATGAAAGAAGTGAAGGCATTTGAGCGGGAATTGCTTGAGCATATAGACATGGTAAAGCTTGCCCGTGAAGAGAATGATGGAGAGCTGGAATCGGTGGGCCCTCAATACTTCTCATAGGCATGTTATCACTCTGTTTCATGGTTTGTGCCATCTTGAACAATTAGCATCAATTTGATGTTTTATTCACTGGTTATTGTAGATTTAATTTAAGATGTAATCTGCTATGTGAACTGGTGCTTTGAAGTATATAATTAGTTTGTCATGTACGCCAAATCGTGAAAAATCCATTATTGAATCAATGCCCACATTATATAATTGTAACCATTGCTTAGAATCAATCCAATAACTGCTTTCATTATTGAATTTAGCCTTCAGTTAATTTAACACTCTACGTTAATTCAAGAAGCATCAATTAAATTGGTCATATGTTGAATCCTTACCATAAAGTTGGGTCCCTTAATTTAAGTAATAAGGTACTTCAGAACAGCATGCATTGTGCTTTTCAGTTATGTGGATTCTCCTTTGCAGGAATCCATGAACGCTTTGCTTAAAATGAGAATAGCTTCAAAGGAGAAGGAGACTGAAGCGTTGTTAGCTGGGGAGCAGGATCCTTGCTCATGTTTCATAGAGGTCTGTTTGATATTTACATCATGTTATTCTGCATCAAAATTTCCTACATTCTTTGAAACTTTTATTGGCGCATAGTTGGTTGGCATTTTGTACTTATCACGGATGTTATAAAGGTGAACACCATAGTTGTGGTTGTATATATCCCGAGCAAGCCCCTTGAAATTTTTTTGCAATGTAGGTTCAAGCAGGAGCTGGGGGTACAGAGAGCAATGACTGGGCAGCAATGGTCATGCAGATGTATAAAATGTGGGCTCAACAACGTGGATATAAAATATCTGTGGTGGATGAAATGCCTGGTGAGATTGCGGGAATCAAGGTTCAAGTTCTTACCTTCCTCTAGTCAACTGATCCTTCGTATTCGTCAAATGGATCCATGAAACATCTGTAGTAATTTTTACCCAGTAAAGTAGAAGAAATCAGCATATCGCAAGCATGTGCCAATCCACCCTCCCACACAGACTATATTGCAGTAAAAGCCTGTTAACTCAAGATTGTACGAGTTTTCTGACTTCAGATCAATATATTCTTGCAGCGGGCAACAATTAAAGTTGATGGTGAGTATGCTTTTGGATATGCCAAAGCAGAAGTAGGAGTGCACAGGTTGGTACGGATCTCACCTTTTGACAGTAGTAAGCGCAGGCATACTTCTTTTGCTGCTGTTGCTGTGACTCCAATCAATGAAGACGCATCTGCTCATGTACAAATTAATGAATCTGATCTGCGCATTGAGCGATTTCGTTCTGGGGGACCTGGAGGCCAGCACGCTAATACAACTGATAGTGCTGTGAGGATTGTTCACATTCCTACAGGAATTACTGCTACTAGTCAAAATGAGAGGTATTAAACGCACTTGCATGTTCTTGTGCAACTCTTACTCATTTTTTGCTTTTTATGTTTGGAACTAAGAATTGCCAACTTTCATCCTCGTTATGGAGTTTCATTTTTCTTCTATGTACAGATCACAGCATATGAATAAAGCTTCAGCAATGGCTGTTCTTCAGTCGCGACTAGACCAGCTTGAGATGGCACGCCAGACTCAGATGAATGCACAGTATTCACAATCTCTTACTGACATAACCTGGGGCAGCCAGATACGTAGCTACGTGCTCCATGTACGCCTTTGTACTACTAGCAGCACAAAACTTCCATCCCTATCCTCCATGCCATTGACAACCTAAGCCACACTAACTTTCATTGCTTCTTTTGATGCAGCCATACCGGATGGTGAAAGATCTTCGAACAAACTACGAAGTCTCAGATCCCGATTCTGTCCTTGAGGGAGATCTAGATGGCTTCATCATGAGTTATTTATCAGCTTCCTTGGATAAAGATGAAGATGACCGCTAAAACGAGTTTCATCTTGACTACCCTGCGTATCTTCAGCAAGACTGAATCTGTGCTGCATGTCCAGACATCGAACTTGTGATATATTTCAGTCATTTGCCGACGATCCATGCAAGGCAGCCAGAATTTAGGATGACATTTGTATATCCGGTGAAAGGATAGGATGGAAATTACTTTATAATATTCTTTGATACCAAAAGTTTTGGTAATAATCTGATTTTGTAATGAAATAATAGGTTGATAATGTGAGCTGATTTTAGTAGATTATCCACATTTTTTCTTCTTTATCAACGGCTTAAACATGTTACTGAGAATGTGCTTAACCCGTTTTCTCCTCTCTTTTTTTTTTTTTTTTAAAGCTTTTAATATTTCTGATAAGATCCTAGAATATTTAAATATTTAAACGAAAATCCAAGCATGGGCCTCGTTGTGAGCCTTTGGGTTCAAAATTTTGTGAAGGTCCATAATCAAGCCCATTCTTTTTATATTCCAAAAAGTAACGAGAAAATACCTGTCGTTTACAATTAGGGCTTCCACAGAGACCCAGAGAGAGTGAGCGCGCGCAGAGAGGGATCGGAATTGGAATCGGAATATTAGGGCTTGCAGCTTTGAGAGTGTCGCGATTATAGGTTTGCAGGAGAATTGAAGAATGGGTTCTTCTTCGGTGATAACCCCCGAAGATGTATTAGAGTCTCTGATGAACGATGGTACCATTGATGCTCTCAGGTTAAAGATCATCAATCAGCTCAAAGCCAATGTAATTCTCTCTCCATCTCTTTCCGTTTTTATTTTAGTCTTTTCTTAACAAAAAAAGAAATTAAGATTTTTGGAGCATAATTGTTCGTTTGTTTGTGAATTATAATGGTAATGGTTAATGGGTTTTGCAGGAAGAGCTGAAGAAGACGACCATTAAAATGGCGGAACAGAGCAAAGTTCTCAATACTCCTGGGGCCGAGAAACAAACAAAAAGAGAGCTTTTTGATGCACTTAGGCAGGAGCTTGAAACCCAGGTGCTTGAGAAGGCCTCTAAGTCTGTTTGGGAGTTAATTTTAGACAACAATGGATTGGGAAAGGAAATCAACCATACAGTTGAAAGGGTATTTTGCAAATTGAGTGGCCGCGAACCGCCGCTGTTTCCTCCTCCTGATGCCAATGAAAAGGCCAATGACAAGGAAAAAGAAAAAGAGAAAGGTAAAGGTAAAGGCAAAGGCAAAGGCAAAGGCAAGGAAACAGCAGCAAGTGATCCACATGAGAAGGAGAAATCAAATTCTGCATCCAAGAAGAGGAGTTTTAGTGAACTAAATGAACAAGGTGAAGGAGAAGACCATCAAGTTGCAGCTAAATCTGATGAACCTCCAGCTGTTGTGCCCGAAGAAGACTTACAAGTTTTGAAGACTTGAATTTTACTGCTTCGTCAAGCCATCTTGTTAGACTAGTTTTGTTTTAGTTTTTTATTGTCTATATATCCACTCTAGGAGGATGACTAAGTTGTGTGTGCTTTGCTTTTTACCATTTACTTTAGCTTTGCTTCTCCTCTAAGTAGATGAGAGTATATGCTTCCATATTGCCATTCTTTAATTACCTGCTCTGTGATTTTGGGTGTTGAAGGTTGTAACACAAATTGACTTGTTTAGTGTATGTCTCTTTGTTTATGTATATTTTATTGAATAAGAAGAAGAAATCCTTTGTCCTCTGCAGACAGGGGCTTTAAATTAATGACTTTGTAGTTGGTAATTTGATGAGGATCCATCCCTCTCCCCACTGTTGAGGATTTCTTTTTGTATAACCTTCTTTTGTTTTTTGTTTTTTTTTTTTTTGGGGGGATTTGGGTGAAATCATATGATCACTGGATGTCAAATTTGTTACACTTGGATTAGATTAGATTAAGCAAGATGTTACAAATCCTTGAAGGTTGGAATTGGAGAGATTTTCATATGGAATGCAAGTATACCCAAATCTTGAACAAATTTCAAGAACATCCCCCGGACTCTTCCTTGTTGGACAGAAGCATTGCCAACGCCGAAGCCTGAATGCTTTTGGAAAAGTTAATTAAAAAAGAAAAATGCTAAGCACGCACTAACCAACCAAACAAACAGGGGATCAAGACTATATAATCCCTCTCTACAAGGATATCCACAAAAATAATACTAACCTAACCAAAGGGATGAAACTGAGGCAATATACACTTATCCCAGGTTACTTATCCCAGGTCATCTTTGTGGATTCCAACGGTTTGCCAAATTATTGAATTCTTCCATCCTTTGATTTTGAGAGAAAGGTGAATGCAGTGAGTTGTTCCCAGCCATATGCATCTCTGAGTTCTCGGCAGAACCTTGTGGCGGCACCCCCCAGCTGGCTGGTTGAGGTGGTGGCAGCACCCAGCTCTTTGGATGAAGCTGGAGTACATTAACAGTTGCACTGGGAACCAAGTTTCCGTTACCTGTCATTTGTTGTCCATAGTTTGTGTGCCTTGTACCAGTTCCAACTGCAGAATTCACTTGCTCTGGGAATCCAATAAGTGAGTTGGCCTGTGTCATGAATTGTTTATCACTAAACTCAACTTGTGACTCAAGCAACAACTTGTTTTCAATGGAAGCGAGCATTTGAGACTCTAGATTAACGCGTTCCAACGCTTGCACATATGCACTAAAATTCTGGAAGGAAATGGTTGGATTCATTTGGGGTGCTGCAGCAACAGAAACCAATCCTGGAAGTTGCTCTCCTCCGAAAAACTCTGCAAAGTCGGTTGTTGCTGTGTTTCTTCCTTGATCCCAGTATGGCATATGTGGATTTTCAACAGCTTGGTTGCTGTTTACCTCATCTAAAGTCGAAGAAAAATCCATAACTATATCATCACAAGATATTTGGGAAAACAACATTAGTGTATGTGGTGAAAGCCTAAGAAAAGCTATATATGGTTGAAAGAAGCAATATAAGTACCTGATATTGGTGAAGTCGAATCCTTGATCCTAAGAGATGGTTTGGCTTGTTCATATCTTTGAATTTGTTGAGTAGGACGTGTCTGGACACATGGTGTAAAGTTTGACTGTAAATTGGAGGGGATTTCTGGCCCATGTCCATCAAAATTAAAAGAAAACTCTGCAATTCCATCGTTGAAGTCTGACTGAAAGTAGGGAGATCTTCGACTTGGGAAAGGTTTTTGGCTCAGTTCGAAAAACCGGATTTCACATTGTATGAGCTTCTCATAGTGTTTGTCAAGAACACCCGGGGCAAATTGAACATAATGCCTCCTGCAAACAGAACGTTATGAAAAAGCTACATCAGCTCAAGTGCTTGAACAGTTAAGGACAGATGAAAAAGTGAAGATAGGAAATATATTGAGCTAAACAAATCTTATTTTGGTGAATCATTTTGATAAGAGAACCATTGATTCTAAAGTTCTGCTGTTTGGAGTAATTCATCAGTACTATAAATATCAAGAAATAATTAGGATAAGAACCTGTGAGTGAGAGCTTCACCGTTGGTGAAATCTGTTGCCACATTCCACATGGTATGCTTTCTTGGCAGCGGATTCGATTCCCGGTGGAAAGAAGGTGGCTGGCTTAACTGCAAAAACATCACCACACCAACACCTTGAGACAAAAAAATATGCCTCCTACTGAAAAAATTTCTATCCAATTAATAGTTATGATGAAGGCTATTATCATAAGGAAGAATATATAACCTCAATTTCTAGAATTCCAGGCTGATTTTCTTCAATAACAGCTCTCATTGATAAAATATCGGACCACTGCACTTCAATCTTGCTCTTCAAACCTTGATCTAAGATTTCCCACACCAGTTTTCGCTTAGCATAGTAACATTTGGCCACCAGATCACCTTCATGTTGAGTTACTCTCTGCACATATTGTAATCAGAATCTAATGAACAAAAAGTTATATTTTTTTATCCACTTTAAATCAAAGTGTTGCAGATTGTCAAAGTGCCAACCTGCCATGAACCAATTCTGAGTAATGTTGCACCAAAGTTAGAAGCCTTCAGTTTTTCCTTCTCAGACATTAATTGAAAATAATTATGATTAATTTCGGGTGCTCGAATAATCGTATTTTTCTGGGGCACAATCATTTCTGTTAAGTCCACAAAAGAGGGTGTCTTCCCAAGATTCAAACCAAGAGGACGTAAGCTTAAAAGAATTTGAGCCAGTTGAGCCTACAAAGAATGCAGCAACAAAACGTTATAAATAGAAACTTTACACAATTAGGAAATAATACACAGTTACCTATTCAAATGAATGAAAGATAGAAACAAAAACCTAGAAGAAAGGCCAACGTGTTTTTGCTGGAAAATAGGCCACCGTGATTAATACGAGGGAAATGATAAGAGAAACGAGGAAAACCTTTCTTCTCTCTAGTTTTTTACTTTTCCAATAACTACAATTAAAATGAAACAACAATGAAAGAGAATTCAAAATGCCAACTTTTATGAACAAAAACCAACAAGAGAGGAAAAGTTAAAGCCTGCAAAACCCAAAAAGCTCCATGCATAAGATTCAATCTAAAATAAACCCCACAAAACCAATTAAAGTCATAAAAATGTCAAGATTCGAGATCCATGCATCAGAATCTTGAAAGAACAAAACAAAAAACAAAAAAAAATTTGAATTCTTCATAAAAGGAAAAATGATATAAGTGTACAGAAGAAACCTTTTCATTAGAATCAATGGGAGCTTGCTTGAGCCTCTTGTTTGCAGCTTCTGAGATATTGTGCTCATAAGCAGAAGCAGAACCAATGTCACGCTTCAAAGACTCCGAATACTGAGACTGCTCAGAAGCACCAGAGGCGTCACTAAACCCACCACCGCCATCAAAATCATCGTTCCACCTGAAAATCCCATCAGAACCAATCCCCTGAACCATTTTCTTTATTTTTGCTTTTCTGGTTTCTCTTTTCCTGTCTTTTCGGATGAGCAAATGACGAAATTAGGCAAAACCCAGTTGAAGATTAACTGGGTTTCATTCAGTTGAAGTCTCAGACGAGTGTTTGTGAAGGAATTGGAGGAGAAAGAGAGAAGCGGCGAGAACAGGGGAAACAGAGCAAAACAGAGCAAGTGACGGGTGTGAATGTGACTTTGGGTGACAATTGCAGAGGCAAAGCTGACTCTGGCTTTGGGCTTATAAAGGTTGAGAGAGGAGAACTCCTTTTGACGCAGGACTGCTGAGGTCATTCTTTTACACGTGGAATCTTTCCTTCTTTTCATTGGGCCCCACATAAATTTTCCTTTTCTTTTTTTTTTTTTAAATTTTTTTTTATACGCCTGGTTTTAAGGCAAGTACTCAGGTTTGTTAGTTGAAAAGAGAGGAAAAAAGAGATTGGTTTTGGATTTTATTTTTGGTTGAACTGTTTAGTTAGATAAATTAATTTTTGTTTCTTTTAAACACTGCTGCTTAAAGTTAGCTTTTACTTTTTTATGTCAAATTATTAACTTAAGCATGAAAAACATGCTTGGGCCGGACGCGCTCTCCCTCCACTCTCCGTCCGAATTTGAATCCCCCTCTCGTAGTTTAGATTAGATTAAAGTAAAATATCGTTTATATAAGAATAAAAAAATACATGAATTGGTGTTAAATAGTTGGCCATGGATTTTACCATTCAAGGAAATAATGAAGCAACTGTATTAGCATGTATAGAGTATGAGTTATAGTATGAATAGACAAAATGAATATACTTATGTAACCGAAATGAAAAATAGACTCATTTGTTGTTTTAAACTCTAAATTAAAGTTTGTTAGGAAAAGAAATCATATTACATATTTGTATTTAATATTGCTTAATTATAGAACTCCAAAAAATGTCTCCCCTCCCACCTCCCCATCAAAGTCAACCTCTAACATCTGGACACACACACACACCCAAAAAAAACAAAAAAACAAAACTAGGTTTATTTTATACTTTCCAAATAAGGAAAAATATAATTGGATTAATAAAGTGACCATGGCCTTCCCAATCACAATCCAAGAAATGGGCATGATTCATGAACCAGTTATGAAGTTTATCCTCTTATTTTTTTTCTTTTCTGAAAGTAATAAAACTGACTTTAGCAGATTGAGAAATTTGAACCAACTGGTTTGGATAGAAAATGTCTGGTTTTGTGTTTGTGAGAGAGTACTTTGAATTTGGAGTAAAAAAATTCTGTCTACAATTATTCAACTTATCCAATTTCCATACTCGAGTTGCCTAGTGCTTCACGTTTGTAGGGTTTGTCTGGCCATTCCAAGTACCCCAAAATCTAGTGCATTACCCTTGTACAATCGCACAACAAAGTGTTGAGGAAAAAACAAACATATAGGAATTTCTATTTTTCTTTCTTTTTTGTTTGTTATATTTTTTAGTACGAGCGATTAGGAGAGCAGCTTTACACCAATATTTATTGGGTGTCTGAGAATATCGAACCTTCGTCCACATAAGTGAAGGTGGTAGAGTTTAACAAAATGAGCTATCCATAACTGGCTTTTATCTATTATTTTTGTATGGTGGCAATAATAATTGTTTTTGTGTAATTGAGCGTGGCTGCGCCCTAATATTATAGTTTTCAGAAGAATTGTGGCATGTGATTAGTGAAGGCATGTCGAGAAGATTTGATGCACATCACTAAATATCTAGTTTGGATATCTATATACAATTATCCTAATGAACCA